AATGACTTGAGTTTGTTGCCGATATTTATTCATTTATTTATTCTCTGTATTATCGGTAATGTTTTTTATCTTGACAAATATTTCAAAATTCGTGGAGGATTAAAAACTTTAAGAAGAAACATCCATTTACACAGACTAGTACACTTTTAAAATTAAAGAAACCAACTCATAGATATCCATACATTGAAAAGATACAGGATGAATCATTTCATAAATTTGCTTTAGAGGAATGTTGTTTGGTAGAAAAAATATCGTTTCAGTCTTTCCGTTCAAAATTGTGGTATTGTGAGATGGCTATGGTTTCTATGTCCTTCCAGTTAGTTCTTTCCTGTCATTTGTGACTATGTAGTGCAGGGGATGATCGCATGCCTTCATCTGGGTAAGCAGAGTTCTCGCTGCTTCCTCCCGCCGTGACTGGAGTATGGGCAGAACCACTGGGACAGACCGCAAAGGAACAATAATCAACCTCCATAAAAAAGCGGTTTTAATGGCCGAATAGAGCGATTCTCGAGTTTACATGAAGACACAAACAAACCTGCACATGCTGATTCTAACCTCCGGTGTTGTTTTTTTTACAGGTGACAGAGGTGGACCTGGAACGATTAGACGTGGAGCTTCGTGGCAGCGAAAAGAGCAACAGGGCCATCCACGTCACGTCCGATGAAGAGATCGTGATGTACTGTTTTTCTTAAATCACTTTAAACAATACAACAATAACAATGTGCACCTAACTATATACTGTCACAGGTTGAGAAGATAAATTTGTGATAACAAAAATCACAAACAGGTGAGCACGAAAACAATTCCCGGGCGGCAATATTGGAATTGAAAAGATTCAGAAATAAGAAATTTGTAACTTAGGCCACACCAATTTAATTTTATGGATGACATCCTCTGAAGACCCCCAAACTAGTGCGCGCGGGCGAATAAAAAAAAATTCCGGCCAAAAATAAAAATGCTACTGAACCACAGGAATACAAAGCTGGTATTGTGAATTCCCGACAGTACATAGTGACGTATACGACAAGTCGGCACACGCTGGCTTTTTGTGGCATTTATGAATCGGTACTGTACGTCTGTACTGAGTTCTTGAGTCGTGGAGTTTCGAATTCGATAGCCTGGGTGCTCGGCTCCGTTTTGTCGCTGACTAGCATGGACTACCCAGGCCTAGAGCCAGGCCAGAGCCTCGGTGGAGGTGATCTTTTTTTTTTTTTTTTGAGGGCGACAGGCGAAAATCAATGCGCGCGCAGATGTCATCCATAAAATTAAGTCGGTGTGGACTTACAGCAACAATTGGAGCTCACAGCAAATCTGGTGCTTACATAATAAGAGAATGAGTCACTTACCCGTAGCAACATGAACACTTAGCAAAAATACAATTGTTTTGTTATAAAAATGCTTACAATGTACAGTTTACAGCATGTTCTAAAAGCCTTGAAAGAAAGTCTAGGAGGATCGTATGTGAAGGGTGGTATGTTGAATAATGAAGGACTGCTTCACATTGACACCCACAGTTACGGAGTGTTTGCTGAAAAGGCCTCGTCTGATGCCTACCTGGCCCTCCCGACAGACGTGTTGGGGACCGAGTACTTTGTCGCCTGTATGACGCCTGTCGCGAGGAGCGAAGAGGGGTGGGATAACTTGCCAACTGGTAAGAATTTTACTTCATTTGTACCTCCGCCAAGATTGTTCTCTCTCTCTCTCTCTCTCTCTCTCTCTCTCTCGTCTGTATGTGTGTGTGTGTGTGTGTGTGTGTGTTGTGTGTGTATGTGTGTGTGTGTGTATGTGTGTGTATATGTGCGCGCGCGCATGTGTGTGTGTGTGTACATGTGTGTGTGTATATATGTGTGTGTGTGTGTGTGTATACGTAGCATAACTTAGGAAGGCTTAGATGGGTTATCTCGATAATTGGTACGTGGGTAGGTCTTGAGAGCTGAAAATAATTCGATTTTGGGCCCCCTGGCGGAACTTCGGTTTTTGATATCTAGTAATCTGGAAATGCTAGGGCCATGATGTTTGAACAATATGAACAGCTGAAATAATTCGATGATCTTGTTTACATTATCAATGAGACAATGAAACATGTATAATTTGTCAATAACCAAATGTTAGCATAATTTGACGAAGGCATGAGATTGCGGAAATCCAGTTTTATTTTGTTTCTACTTTGTAGTGAAGAATTTTTTTGTTTGTCTTTGTGCCTGTCTTTGTGCCTTGTTTGTCTGTGTCTGCGGTGATAAAGAAAGAGCACAATGCAGTTTTTGAGTGTCCTGGCAGAGGGCGAGTACTGGCATGCAGGGAAGACTGCCATCTCTGATTGGCACGAATATGTTTTAATGCGCACTTTCACTTGTCTCAATTAAGGGACAAATTTATGTAATAGTCTATGCAGCACCCAACACTACATAAAGTATTCATGGTCAACCCAGGCAGAAGCGAAGTATTTAAGATGCTCCCGCGGTTCAGGGCGCCTTACCCATGGCCATTTCAAGTAGCGACGCTAATGATAAATAAGCCAATTTTTCTTACACCTTACACCTTACACTCTACCTTTGCTTTCATCCTTCCATGTGGTGCTTTCTCGCCATGTTTTGTGTCTTTGATCTCCATTACAGAGTTTGGGGTTGTCGGCGTCTACGACGGGACGACTGTGACCATTAACCCTACTCAAGACGTGACGTTTGGCGGAAACAACTACCCCGCAGGTCAGAACTTCACGGTCACCCTGGACAGGTTTCAAACACTTCAGGTAAGAATGCTCAGTACCCTTCCATTAGCCGAGTTGGTTGGGGAAGACATAGGATGAGTTACTTTGGTTTCTCTTTGAAGGCTGATTCTTTCCCTTCTATCTGCGAGGGCAGTGAAACTCCAAGGCGGTCAAACTCCCCTATATATACATTATAGAATACAATAGTCCTCCTATATATAGCCGGCGTACTTAGCCGAACTTGCTATTGCTATTTCTATACGGGTTTTCTTGTATTCTATTTATTTATTTCATCTTTGAACACCTTGGTAGCCTCTCCAACAGTAAATTGTTGATTTCCAAGAGGGCTCAAGGACATTCAAACATAAAACAAATTGATTAATAGTAAATCATACAACAAAATTAAATAACTGAGAGATGTTAACTGAGATCAGTATAACTGAAGATCAGATTAAACCAATGACACAACATATATAAATGACTGAACAGAAATATACAAACCAAAATGTGAAAAACATAATCGTGATCCATAATCGTGACCAAATTCTTCTGGAGGTAAGATGTCAGTTTACACAAAGTGAACAGCGTGTATGCTCAATAGAGCAGCCATGCAAGTTTTCAGAGATTGTTGTCAGCTACCAATAATTGGGTGTATGACAATAATGACGTACTGTGTTTTGCAATCATCAAGCTTCATTCTGTTCCAGCGAAGAGCAGCAAAAATAGTTTCCTTGATTGTACTTACTATATAATACGTTTCCCATGCCATGGCTTTTGAGTCTGTCTTCATGGCACGTCGCAGTACTTTAGGTAAAAGACAAATTAAACGTCCCTGTAGGTACAATCGGCTGAAGACCTGACCGGGTCCAGGATCACATCCAGCCATCCGGTGTCCGTGCTGAGCGGAAACCTGTTCACCGTGATAGGGAACAATCAGGAAGGGTCTGGCGACTACACTGTGGTGATGATGCCACCCGTAGACACCTGGGGGAAGGAGTTCGTCACCGCCCCGCTGGCAAAACGGACCGCTGGCGACATCTTCCGCGTTGTGGCTGCCAGAGACAACACAAAGGTAGGCTCCGTCTTGTGTTTTTATAGCGACGACTCAGGGGCAAAGATTATTAAAATACTCAAATGCAGTCCCTATTGAATTTGTCAAAAAGTCATTTCAAGAACAGTTGGATGGATTGGTATCTTACTTGGTGCGTTGACAGGGTCAGAAAACTGGAAATGATGAGATTTGGGCCCCCAAATGGCTTCTCTTGGTACTGTAGCGGAACTTTCGGTTTTGATATCTTGCGAGCTGGACAGGCTAGGGTCATGAATTTTGAATGGTAGGTAGCTATTGTGCTCTGAAATTGCAGTACGGTTTGTTTAAACCAAGGAGTTTGTTTTTAAACCTCCCTGATCTTCAAAACAGGATAACTAAAAAAGCGGTTGACGGATCGTCGTGATTTTTGGTATATACGTAGCTTAGTACAACATTGCGAATCACGATCTAAGTTTGAATTTTTTTTTAAATTTTTGTATAAGGTAACTGCTGGGAATTTTATACCATATTTGACAGACAAACGGACAAACACTACCATTCCTATCAAAAAAATGCTATATTTTTGTCATTGATTATGAATATAAGATCCTCATTTCATTTCTATTCTTGATTATATCTGTTGATCATATTCACATAATGACAGCCTTATCTAGACAAAAAGGCTTTTCTAGCACTTCCTCATAAATTAAGTTGAATAAATTATGTTTATTAATGTTAACCTATTCTTAATTTACTACAAACCAAGTGATGAACGAGTGAACGCAGCGTGCTTATACAAGATGTTCCAGGTTACAATAAGGCCACAGCAAGTAATTTTTTATAGATGACATCAGCTCGCGTATTTTCGCCTGATTTTGTCTCTTACTTCGATGATGTGATGTATTTCATTCCTTTTGTTTGTTTGTTTGTTTGTTTGGTTTTATTTGTTTACCCAGGGTGTACATATCGCCACTAAGGCGTTTTTCAATGTGCCCTGCAGGCATACATGAATAAAATATACAAGAAAATAACAGATATAAAAAAATGATAAGTCAACTTATAAGTACAAATTAAAGTCACCATAGTACAAATAAAAGTAAAAGTACTATATAATGCCGCAACTCAGTAAGGTGGTAATAAAACAAACTCGTCAAACCAAGAGCCACAACTCATAGTAATAAAGGCAATAATACAAAAACAAATCAAGATAATAACAAAAGAATATAACAAAGGAATTTGCATATCAATGCTGTTTGATAACAAGTTATGATGTGGCAACACACTCCTGGTTGTGTTGCAACAAAGGTTTACATGTGATGTTCCCACTGAAGCAAAACTAGTTGTGCAATGATAGAAAACTTAAATTTATTTCTTTAGTGGCAAATAAATGTTGTAATAGTCGACAGTAAACCTAGCGCAATAAAGGGATAATTCCTTGCATAATAAGGTTGATGATGTCAAAATGTGAAAATGTAGGAGTCTTGTTTTTAGGCTCGCCTTGTTTTCTTCCCCTATCGCATTAGTTTCGGAGCCTGCGCAGGATGTCAGCCATAAAATTAACTTGCTATGGCCAAATTGAATAACACAATAAAACGACAAAGGGTTTGCAATAGATAGAACGTAGGGAAGCCACGAAGGCCGATAAAATGGACATAATTGCGTGGAACAGAAAAAAAAAACCTAACAGAGTCTTGGGTTGAAATCTCGCAGAGCGTTTATATCACATCCAAATAAGAAACTTATGGCTGGCTCACTCACTTTAACAAGTACCTCCATCAACAATAACCAAAATACACATCATGGTCCTGTCTGCCGTAAAAAGAATAACGTCGCCGAGGCGTTTTTATACGCCACATTATTGGATCTAGTGGTCGGGCCTTGCCTCTGGAGGTTAGGAGTTCGAAGGAAGACCACATTTTAAGGAGACCACCACATGTATCGGTCTACTAGGTCTACAACAAGGAGTTCGCAAACCACAGAAGAACACCTACCCCTCCCGCCAAGTGCTTTACAGATCGACACTAGGTAAAAATATACTGTATACAAACAGTAGACGATACGGTTAGGGACACTGCTACTTACGGAGAGGGACAAGCTTCTGGCCTCCGCACGTGCAATGCAGGTACAATATAGGCAGGTAGGGTCTAAACTGGTTATCCAAAGAAATGTCCATGTCTTTAAATAGACCGATAAAAGTCGGCACAGATTACGTACAAAAGGAAAAAAAGGCTAGCCATTCGGATTACGAGTATGTAGTTAACAAGTTGAAGTCTGACAACAAGACCACCTTGCCACTAATGCTTCTTTGCTTTTATCTTTATTTTCAAGGTGACTGTTACCGGTCGAAACCCAATGAATCTGGACGCAGGGCAATTCTGGGAATTTGAGGCTGGTTCGAACGAGTACTTGCACGTGACCTCCAACGAACCAGTACTGTTGGTACAATACAGGTGTGAGCGATCTATTCCCTGCTTTGTCGTGAAACTCCTGAACGTTAGATTTGTAAAGACCCCAAAACACGATCTCTGAATAATGTATTTAAATTGTGGCTTCTGTTGCTTCTGTGTAGTAAAACAGGAGATGCCGACAACACGAACACCGACCCCTTCTCCATGATCATCCCTCCTGTGGCCCAGTTTGAGGCAGATTACACATTTTCAACGGTCGAGCTTATCAACAGCGGAACCACGCACCACGTGAACCTGGTCATCCAGTAAGCTTTCCTCTTTTTCTTTGTCTTTCTGTGGAACGCGCGCGCGCGTGTGTTTGTTACTCTCTCTGTGTAGTTAGCAGTCCTGTCATGGGACTGTCATCAGGCTGTTGTCGCTCACCCACTTGCACGCATTTGGACTGTGATCCACTGCTCTTTGCACTTGTCGAAAAAAACAAGGCGGATTTCCCCGGCACAAGGATCCTGTAAATACTGTACATAGGGGCTGTCCTCTCTGTCACGACTGGCCAGTGGAAGATTATAGCTCTTCATTGAGGTAAACTGGATAATGATGAGGTAAACTGGAATAACTTTTCTTCCCTTTTAAATAATGACATGTTCTGTAGAACATTAAGTTTGTGATAAGTGATCATCTGATGTTCTACCGAGGATATAACGATAACATGATTGAATGTTCCAGAAGGAGACGACAACTAGTGACTGACGTCTTGATTCCATCCTTCTGTCCATAGGTCGGCTGACAAAGCTGGTCTCATATTCGATGGACAACCGTTGCCGGGCAGTACCGTTTGGCATCCCGTGCCGGGGACTACCTACGAAGCTACTGATCTGACTATCTCGGCAGGCACACACACAGCAACTCACTCTTCCCCCATCGCAACCTTCGGTCTCTTCAGGTGGGATCTTAGACTAAATCTAGTGACCCTTGGTTCGAATCCTTTGCAGATTATCGATGTTTGGGAAATGTTGGCACTAACTAACAAAATCAAACAAAGGAGAATGGAGCTTGCTGGGCCCAGCGCGCGGCACCCTGGACTGGTGGTAAGTGAGCTTTGCCAGAATTATGACCTTCCAAGCTTTCCAGGATACAACCACACAAATCCCATGCCCCGGGCCAGGTAAGTACCGGGTACCGAGCGTCGGGTCGGGACGTCGGAAAGCATACCGGATTTCCCATGTTTGGAAAGAGGCACACCTGAATAATAGTTGATAGTGTGGGCAGGGCTTTATCTTTTTTTAATTTGTTTTTTTGAGGCGGCTAGCATACGGCCATTACTACCTGGAACGTCTACAGCCTCGCCGCGTTTTTACACATCTTCTTCATCGCATCCCTAGCTATGGCTTCGCAAGCGCGGAGGCGTATGGCTATCCAGGCGGCCTCCGTCTGGCCCAGATCGGTGGAGCTTGCACCCCCACCCAGACTGTCGCAAACGACCGCGTCGACAACGACTGCGACGGGCGTGTGGACGAAGAGCTGAGGAACGGCATCGACGATGACGGCGATGGACTGATCGACGAAGACATCGCCAGTGGTGGTGATGGTGAGTGTCGTCTAAAAAAAGATTAAAGTAGTCCCACAGCAGATCCCTTTTTAGGCCGTAAGAGCAGTCTGTTGTTGATCCACAGGTACCGATGTTGGTCGTCGACCGATCTTCAAGATTTCAACTATCTACCCATCCTTGCCACAAGGTTCACCGTAAATAGACTGTCAGTTTACCCCTGTCAGTATACCCCTGTCAGTATACGTATACCCCTGTCAGTATACCCATGGCAGTATATATGTCCCTGGCAGTATAGTATTCAGTTTGCCAAGCGGCTTGCTATGACTCGACTTGAGGCTCTCTCTTTAGTTTGCCAAGTGGTTCGTTTGGTAGATCGACTTGTTCGCAAGGAGGCTTGCGGTGGCAACACAACCCACGGTGCACATTCTTCTAAACCCAGTAATTTTTCTTTTGGGGCAAATTTGCCCCATTTTCCGTGTTTACTGGTTCTATCGGTATTTATCTTGTTTTGATGCGCATATAAACGCGGGAATTAATTCAACACGTAAAAGTCATTGGTCGAGAGGACAAACATTAGCAGCTATCTTAAATTATTGCAATTTCTCGCTAAATATTGCAAAAACAGGGTCACATGATATTTCAGAGCAAATGTACTGTCGGCCTTTCTGTTTTTTTGGTGGGGCCAAATGACCTTAACTTCGGTACGAAATTTAGAGTTGGTGAAACATTTTTTTCTTGATACACACCTTTATAATTGTATAATTTGTAACTTTTCGGCTGTTTTATAGTAGTGTGTAGTCTGGTAGATTGTGTTATAATGGTTGGCTTTCCCATGTTCGGTATACAGACCAAGGGCCGTTAGATTAATGAGAAAGATCTCCATTAGTGAGTATGTACAATGTACAATGTATACTAATAATCAATGGCAGGGGCAGGGGACTGTGATGTGGAAGGAGGTTACAGCTGGACGGAAGTGGACGGAGAATGGGGATGCCACTGCGTTGACTCCCGCTGTGGTGAGATACTGTTACTATTCTTCTTGGTTAATGGGGCTCTCTTTTTCCGTCTAATCGTTTATTTGATAGAATCCCAAAATTCTAAGTAACTATATTCGAAGTAACTAAATGTATTGTGTGCGTGTCCTTCGTATCATTGTACGTGTTCAAAGTGGGGTCACCTTCGAAAGAAACGCATGTTTTGATTGGGTTAGAATGTGTATTCTACTTGGGGTCATTGGAATACGTGTTCAAGGGCCAGTAACATACTGCACTTTTTTTTCTTGCAATCGAGAATAATTAGATTTATGAAATTGACTTTTTTACGACACAGTCGACTGCCCCCTCGGGTATCTGCAATGTAGAGACGGGGAAGCCTGCCTGCTGGCGTGGAAGTGGTGTGACGGCAGGGTAGACTGTACAGACGGGAGTGATGAGGAAAGCTGTGGTAAGATGGTCTCAGTTACTACACACTGCATGGGTATTTGGATTCACCCATGGTAGTAAGTGTCAGCACAACCAGTTAATGTATCCTTTTAACGTACCAAACCCCAACTTTTGGCAAGCAATTAATAGTTTTACTGATGGTAAGGCACCAGGACTTGACGGATTGCCTGTTCAGGTATACAAAGTCTTTTTTAAGAATTTAAAGAAACCGATGCTTTTGTGTTATAACTATGCTTTCGATAAGGGATACTTGTCTGATACTCAGAGAGTCGGACTTATTACTCTTTTATTGAAACAGAACGGAGAAGGGCAATATAAGGACCCGTGTTATCTGAACAACTGGAGACCTTTAACCCTGTTAGGGTGTGACGTTCGAATAATTTCTAAAGTGATCTCCTTTAGAATCAAGAAAGTGATAAATGATTTGATCGGTGTAGACCAAACGGGTTTTTTTTGAAAAATAGATTCATAGGTGAGAACATTCGAAGAATTCTTGAAATAATTGAATACTATGAAACTGAAAACAAACCGGGCTTAAAATTTTCATAGCCGACTTGGAAAAAGCATTTGACACTTTATGCTGGGAATACATGTTTAAAGTATTGAGATTCTTCGGATTTGGCAAAACCCTCATGAGATGGATAGCGTTACTATATAAAGACATCTCCAGTAGGGTAATGAATAATGGACACATATCTTCTCCTTTTCCGGTCTCACTTGATAGTTTATTTCAACACCAAAAGCAAACCTTGCAGCAGGGATACGAATCCCTGAATTGAAAGAGTTTGCGTACAGAAAATAAAAGTTACAATAGGCAAAACAACACTATATACACACCCTCATATACACTATAATACATAAAGAATTTGTACCAAGCAAAAAACTATATACAGATGAGGTTCAGGAAAAATAAAACTAGAGATACGTCAGTTCTTTGTTGTATAGGGCTATGGCCCTGTGGAAAAAGGACTGCTGGAGCCGCTTTGTCCTAGCCCTGGGAGCACTCATGGCCTGGCTGTTCCTTAGGGTCATGTTCCTCCCAGGACAGCTTGCTGTCAAAGGTGAAACCGAGGCCTTTAGCGACAGTCGTAACTGGGACAAGGTCACCTCCAAGAGTGAGCGGTGGCATAGTTGGTACACCACGGCTGGAACAGATCAGCAACAGCTGGCTCTTCTTTCCATTAAGGAGCATGTCGTTCCTTATGGCCCAGGAATCCAGCCGCGCTGCTTCTTCAGTCATGGTGTTGTCTGAGCCGACTTGCTTCAAAGGGACGGACCTGGACAGTCCTACATCATCCGCATAACCCACGTCTAGTGTGTTGGTGTATACGGTGTCACGTGAGCTCATGAATAGGAGGAAGAGGTAAGGTGACCAACCCCCCCCCCCCCCTGAGGAACTCCAGATGTCAGTTGGCGCCAGCTGCTGAAGTTGTTGTTTGCGGTCACTCGCTGCGTACGGCCCGTCAGATAGTTCTGGACCCATGCTACCATTCGAGGGCTCCCCACGACATCTTTCACTCGCTGGAGAAGTATTGAGTGGTTCACCCTGTCAAACGCCTTGCTCATGTCTGCAAACAGAGCTTGCACTACCGTGTGGTCTTTAGAGTCAAGGGCCGTTAGCCATGTCTGGACCATTCTGATAACAGCAATGACTGTGGACGATCCCTTGAGGTAGGCATACTGATTGGTGATGACAGGTGTGATGGAGGGAAGCAGTCTTTTGAGTATACACCGTTCTAGCAGCTTGGCTAATACTGGCAGGAGAGACACCGGTCTCATATCACTAGGCGTGGTTGCACCCTTTACCTTCGGAATGGGGACAACGCTCGCTGCCTTCCAAACTACAGGCACTGACCCCCCTTCGTAAGAGGAGTTAAACAGGTGAGTAATGACAGGAGCGAAGTCGTCCGCATACTCCTTGAGTATCCAGGTTGGAAGGTCATCTGGCCCACTTGCTTTGTTGGGGTTTACGTTCTTAAGAAGTGCTTTGACCTCCCCAATAGAGCAGAGATCAACAGACTTGGTGGGTTGTTGAAGGGGAAACAGATAGAGATCATTCCCAGGACACCACATTTCAGAGAAATGCTGGTTCAGAGCTTCTGCTACGTCGTGGTCTGGCACATTCTCGAAGGATGTACGGTTAGATCGTTCTTGGGATCTACCGAGCTCTCGGTTGACGAAGCGCCACCATTTGCGAGGTTTCTCCTGCTTGAGGTGCTGTATGAAGTTTATGTAGTATCAGTATTCAGTCTCCCGAGGTGTTCGTCAGGGATGTCCATTGTCACCCTACCTTTTTGTCCTTAGTGTAGAAATTCTAGAGATGAGAATTAAGCGACGGTCACAACCTGCCGTACGTGCTTCAGCGTGCTGTCTACGTGCAAAAACGTGGGCAAACGTAGGGCATCCGTGCGTGGTGAGTACGACCTCCGTACGGAATCCTACGGATTTGGGAGCACGCAGACACGCCGTAGAACTTAAAATGCATGTAATACTTTTTCTGCGTGCGGTCTGCGGATTTACCACCCGTGCGTGCGAGTACTAGCGACGCGCGTGCCCCGTACGTGCCGTGCGGAAGAAGCACTTGTGAGTGCGGCCTCCTTGCGGTAAAGTTGCAATCGCACTGACATCGTACGTTGTAAGCACGTACAACTCACTTACCACTTGCGCAACGTACAATGCACGCAACTGCTCAGGGTCAGACTTGGCGTGCAGACCACACTCTTACACTTTGTGTAACCGTGCGAGTGACGTGCGAGTGACGTGCGTAGACGCCACTCCTTCTCCACGTTTTCAGAAGAAACGTAGCAGACGTAGCCTCCCAAAAAACGTACGGACAAAAAGCACGTACGGCGGGTTGTGACCGTCGCTTTAGAGACAATAGTCTGATAAATGGTTTAACGGTAAATGAATACGAAACAAAAATTACCCAATTTGCAGACGATTCAAATTTTCCTATCCAACCCAAACTCCCTTCTTTATTAGCTTTGGTTGAAGATTGAAATGATATTTCTTCTATCTCTGGTTTAAAGCCAAACTACGATAAATGTAAAATGTTGCGAATTGGATCTTTAAGAAATACTCCTTTTAAACTCCCATGTTCACTCCTACTTCAATGGATAGACGGACCAGTACAGATGCTGGGTGTTAATATTTCAGGTAATACAAAAGACCAATTAAAAAATTACTTAACTAGATTAGCCAAAATAGATAAGACCCTTCAACCATGGAGAGGTCAGCCTTTGACACTACACGGCAAAATAACTCTTATCAACACTCTTGTTGTTTCTCAATTCACACATCTCTTTATGGCCCTACCATCTCCTGATGATGACTTCTTTAAAAAATACGAGGAAAAGATCTTCAGATTTATTTGGAATGGTGGACCTGAGACAATAAAGCGTAAAACATTGTATAATAGTTACGAACATGGATGTGTTAAGTTGATACACTTACAGACCTTTGATCGCACCCGGAAAGCCTCATGGATCCCCAGACTACACTTATCTGATAATAGTTTTTGTAATAAGATGTTTAGACAGACAAATGTACTTTTTAGAAATGGTGTTTTTCCTTTTATACAAATAGATACTAAGCATATAACTAGCACCCTTGCTCTTTTTAAGCCTACCCTAGCCTTTTCTTCAAAGACGTAATAAAAGCTTGGTTATCCTTTCAGTTTAACCCTACCTAGACCGGGCTTTTTTTGACATGGGGGGACCGGGGGGGGCTCTTTTGACCCCCCCCCTAAGAACTCGCGAACGGTATGTAGTATGACCACCAAATTTTTAGAGATTGGTGTACTAGTGAAAATTTATCATATCTACAATTTTTATGTCATTATGATGTAATATGACGTCATTATGACGTCATTAATGTGATTTTATTGGCCAAAACCGTCTAAATAGGTTTTTCCCTGAAAACTAAATGGTATTCAACATAACTGTACCAAAAGTGTTTATGACAGATTATTATGGTGTACTAAGTCTTATGTTGCCCATAGCAACACCGATGACGTCATAAAATGACGTCATGCATATTGTTCCAATCCAGTCAACCCACAAATATTCAACCAGATTTTCAGCTTCTAACAGTTTCTTGCTCCCCAAACCAAAAACAAACAGTAAAAAAAGAACATTTCAGTATCGTGCAATTGACCTTTGGAACAAACTACCACAACACATCAAATCACTGTCAAGCATATCTAACTTTAAAAAAGCCATCCGCCAACTGTTCACACGATATGAGTCCTGTGATTAGAGTGTGAATTAGGTATCTTTCATTTGTACATAATGTAATAATGTAAATTTCCTCTTCATGTCATATGTGTATTTTTAACTATGTCACCTGTTGTTTGTATTGTATGATCTCTGTATGAACCCTGGAAGACTAGCCAGTTTTTAGCTAAAGGGTATCGTAATAAAGGAATAAAGGAATAAGATATCCGCCATCTTGGACCATCAATCTTGAATTTTCAAAAATTGTTTTTTTTTCATGATGAAGCCTAAAATACATCGTAAACATACTAAAGACCTTTATTTAGACCTTTTTTGGAAAAAGAAATGGAAGTATTGATGAAATTTTAATGAAAATAACCTGTATATACCTGTTCTAATGATATGGTCCGCCATCTTGGATTTTGGCCAATGGCGTCATCAAATTAGCATAAATTATGCATATTTAATGATAAAATTTACATAAAATTATATGGGATGTTATTAATATTAGAAACCATGAGTAACTTGACATAAAACCCATAAAATTCTATTGTTGAAACAAAAAGTACTAAATTTAGCAAAACATGCCTGTCAGAAACCCGTTGCCATGGCAACACAAAAAATTATTATCTTATTCCAATGATAGAGAATTGTTGCCAACAATATTCTAGGAAAAGTCACCAAGTTTGGCCGTTCTACGGCTAGCCGTTCAGACGCTAGGTGACATCAAATTTGCCGCGGGCACGTTTAGCCCCCCCCCCCGGTCTAGGTAGGGTTAAGCCACCAGAAAATTATCAGGATATACAGTCACAACTGATCTGGTGCAATTTAAATATAACGATTCAAGATAAACCTGTATTACAATGTGGGAAAGACCTATCTCACAAGGCATTATGTTTATCAATGACCTCATTGATAGTGCTGGACGATTTTTAACATAAGAAACATTATACACTAGATACGATGAAACGTTTAGTAGATTAGAATACAATCAAATACTGTCTGCTATACCAGATGCTTGGAAAAAAATACTTAGAGACAAATGTCCAATCATAGGTCCCATTTTACCCAAAATATGCCTTTACTCTTGTTTAGTTAAACCTATATATGAATAAGAACATATACACTGATTTTCTTCGATTGAATAGTATAATTGACACCTCCCGTAATATTCTTAACTATTGGGAAGACGAATTTAACACCCCCATTCCTTGGAACCAAATTGATCTACACCACAACAATATGCCCCCGTTTAAGATTTTTTCAATTGAAATTAATATACAAAATTTTTCCAACAAATAAGATGCTTCACATTTGGAAGATCAAAAATAGTCCCTTATGTCTCTCTTGTAACGAAGAAGAAAACACCATTCACGCACTATGGGATTGTCCGAAAGTCTATGAATTTTGGAATAAAATCAAAAATTGGTACGAACGGCTAACAATAGAAATACTAAATATTGATGCATTTAATGTAATTTTTGGGGACCTGGAACAGAAGAGTCCGATACTCAACAATGTTATAATCTTACTAGTTAAAATATTTATCTTTAATCAAAGGGGCAAACACCTGATGTTAAAACATTTCTTAGCCTATTTAAAATTACATAACAAAACTGAATTAATTATAGTCTCGAGAAGAAACAAACTATTAGCCCACTATAAAAAAATGGGGGAAAATGACACAAACACTTAATTCTGACTACGTGTAAGTTGATCTTACGTTCATTATACTCAGTTTGATATTTAAACCATTGTTTTGTCTACATTATTTTTGTTTGACATTGTTCTAATATTTTGGTTGTTTTTGATATTTATCATTTGTTAATCTACTGTTACTTATGGTAGATTATTATTTATGTTTTAGTTTATTTATTTTCTACATTATGTTATGGATCCGTGGTCTGTCTTTATTAGTCTTGAACTTTATCCTTTTGTTTTTCTGTATGTGTTGTGTATCTTTTTTTTTTGAAATGCAATAAAAATTAAAAGAAAAAGAATGACGATGTTCAAGGTCACCCACAATGACGGCAGTAACATCATTACATGTTACATATACACTATAAGACGGCGCCATAGATAGAGTACAGTTCCGAAATCGGTTTATAATTGTGAAAAAGGGGATTTTTTACTGTTAGGCTGAACCCATGTAAAAAGGGGGTTTGAAGTAGCGGGCTGTTGCGAGTTTACTGTAAATGACCGCGGGTGACCCCAAATCGAACGAACGCTCGGTTCGAATGGCGTCATATCGAACATGGTTCGGTTTGAAATTAAATTCGAATATTTCGACCAAATTTGACCATTGTTTACATGTCAATCTATCTATCTATCTATCTATCTATTTATCTATCTATCTATCTATCTATATATATATATATATATATATATATATATATATATATATATATATATATATATATATATGTATGGTTATAGGAAACCGACCATGTATTATGACGCCGTATACACCAAAGGAAAGTGGTCTATTAACATTATTTTCATATATCATGTAACGAAGTAACTAAATGTATTGTGTGCGTGCGCGTGTCCTTCGTATCATTGTACGTGTTCAAAGTGGGGTCACCTTCGAAACAAACGCATGTTTTGATTGGGTTAGAATGTGTATTCTACTTGGGGTCATTGGAATACGTGTTCAAGGGCCAGTAACATACTACACTTTTTTTTTCTTGCAATCGAGAATAATTAGATTGATGAAATTGACTTTTTTACGACACAGTCAACTGCTCCCTCGGGTATCTGCAATGTAGAGACGGGGAAGCCTGCCTGCTGGCGTGGAAGTGGTGTGACGGCAGGGTAGACTGTACAGACGGGAGTGATGAGGAAAGCTGTGGTAAGATGGTTTCAGTTACTACACACTGCATGGATATTTGGATTCACCCATGGTAGTAAGTGTCAGCACAACCAGTCAATGTATCCTTTTTAAAGTACCAACCCCCAAAATCGTAGTAAATGATATTCAAGTCTATCGTTGTTACGTCTCGCTCTGTTTACAAAACAAACATCACCCGACTGGCAATTACTGCCATTAGTAATTTCCACTTTTCGTGAAGGAATAGTTACAGTGGCTCGTAAAATAAAGATTGGATTCTTCTCCATAATTACGTTGTCAAAGATGTTGTGAAAGGGGGGGGGGCGTCGCGGGGAGATGTAGTTGACGTTCCACTGCCAGGTGTGTGGCCTACCGGAGTGTCATGTCGTGTGCGCTGAGCGTCTCCGCTACTCCGTGTATCCATCGGCGGCTCGGTTTCCCTCGCCCTTACTCGTGCCTGGCGGTGTAGGCCCTTAGGGCTGGTTGAGTGGTCGGCATTCTCATCAGGTGGCCAAACCTCCGAACCCTTTGTTTGGCAATGAACTGGAGAACTGGCGTGTTGCCAACCAACTGTCTGATGACTTCGTTTCTGACCCTGTCCCCCCTTGTCTTCCCTGCTGCTCTTTGTAGACACTTCATCTAACAGCTAGTGAGTTTTCTCACCTCAACACACTTAAAAGCACGAATAAAAGTACCGGCGAATGAAGAACCGGAACCTGTACGCACACTTTGAGTGCTTAAAGAATAGATTTTAAGCGGCGTTTAAAATAGGTTGGAAGACTAATGGAAATATTCATCTAATTTCCAGCATGCCTGACAATTCCTGGGGATTTCAATAACAGCAGGCTTGCGATGTTACCGAACCAGCTGGGGCAGACGACATTCGAGGAGATACAAAACTCCTCTGTGGCCGAGCTGCTCAACATTAACAGTTCGTACGGCAACCCAGAGGGAGTCCACCCCGAGTTCGGACAGTTTGTATCAACGATCCTCTACCCGAGATGCAATGTCTCCGATCAAGATATGTGCTCATCACCAGGAAGTGCAGACAACATTTGCACGTAAGTAAAACACATGGTCTTCCATGCATACCCACTGAAATCGTAGGAAATGCATCATTTGTCTGGATCTACTGGTAAGCTATTTGCTTAAAAATAGCTCTAACTTTTGAACTTTGATTCATGTCACTTTAGATTAATGAATTGACTCGGAATTATGGATTTGTAAATAAGAAACCAATCTAAAACATTGGTAGTAGGCATTCGAAGACTATAGGGTACTTCATTCTAGACCCTATACTTATTCTTAGTTTTGCGTTTAAAGCGTCTCAGTTCTGATGCGAGACTCTGTTTTCTTCCCCCCGATGTAAGCCCTTCTTAACTTCCTGTCTCCAAAGTGTTCTGTTTGTTGCTAGTGTCTCCCATGTGTTAGTATCTATGTCCATGTCTTTTTAATGTCCCTTTTTAACAACGTCTTTAAATCGCGGGTGAAGACGACCACGTGCCCTTGGCCCTTTGGCAAGCATCACACATTAACGACATCCTAATCGGAGTTATGTCGACAAGGATCCAACCTGTATCTCTAGAGTTGTAAATAGCGGTACGGAATCTATTATACATGTATGTTTTACAGTGGAACATCGCTGCTACCGTGCCGCTCGTGGTGTGAGGAGGTCCTCAATGATGACAGGATCAGGAACACGACAATGCTGCCACAATGCGACGTATTTCCTCCTACACAACATGGATGCTGGAACCCTGAACCAGAGATAAAAAACAACGAAGGTATGGCCACAGCAATATAATTTGTTGCTTCTCGGATTTGCCCTGTCCATTTTTTTCCGATTTGCAAAAAAAAAAAAAAAGGTTCTGAATCAACTGCAAAATTCTCAATGAAAGGCATTTTGGCCCCAATGGTTAAAGAAAGCCCTTTTCGTCCTACTTGTTAAAACCTTTCAGTGTAACAATGCAACTTCGTTTCATTAAAAATTCTTTATCCGAGCCCCCTCTTCTACTTCTAAACATGGCTAAGTCTGGGATTCTGGCCCTTGTTCCGTTTTCACGCTGTGGTTGACTTTCTTATTCAGATCCACAGTTATCTCTTCGTCGTTCATCCCTCCACAGTGGCGGTCTAGTATACAGTTTTTTTTATTCCGACATCTAATCACAACACGTGGTGACGGCACACTCAAGTTTTTCTAAATTATCTAAATGCCGCCAATATACTTGTTTTGACTTAAACACTACTTCATTGGGTACCAGCTTTCAGAGACATATTATACCGCTGTTGACAGCTTTTCGGGAATGTACAATACTGTATTGATGATTATATGATCAGGTACTTATACATGGCTATGTCTCTTCCCCCAGTTTGCTACCATGGTAGCGGCATCAACTACCGTGGTACAGGAAGTACCACTTTATCCGGGGCTGCTTGTGTAGAGTGGACCGCTGCGCAAGGCGGTTTCTACACAACCGAGTACCCCTGGGCTAACCTCGTCCACAACTACTGTCGTAACCCTACCGGACTCGAGCGGCCATTTTGCATAACGGAAGATGGTAGCCAGGAGGAATGTGACCTCATTCCGTGCAGTAAGTTGTTTGTTTGTTTGTTTGTTTTATTAGGGTCTGCTTTAGTGTTTTGTTGCAAATTCAATTCACAGTATTCTTCATGGCGGCTGCTACGATACAATACAAATGAATAAAATCTGTAGACGGATTAGGTCAACTTAAAAGTAAACAGAAGAAATCAAAGGAATCATGAAATAATTAAAGCACAATTCTGGAATTGTGCAGAGAAGAATAAAAGTAATATCAATTTACAAGAATGCAAACAACTGAAATGAAATCAATACAATGTACATTGTATATACAGAGAGAAAATCACAAGGAAATCGTGAAAAAAACAAATATAAATATAATATTTAAATAAAGCAATCATGTACGATTATCGAAATGATAAAGTAAACAGGTTTAGCCAAGACAGAATGGAATCAGTCAATACAAGAGACATTATTCTGGCTCTGAGACAGGTCATAGAGCTGATAGATTTCTTCCAACTGTGAGTAGCACAATATATGAGGAGCTGGAATCGTTTTTTTATTGCCAATGCTGCAAGTAGTTTAGGGCTTTATGTGCAGTTTTATATATGTCTTAATTTATGTCATTTCGACACTAATTTGCACGCTCTTAATGCATTAATTATTGTATATTCTTTATATAATCGCACCTTATAATTTTTACATCCAGACGCAGACGGCTGCTTGGACCTGGGTCCTCCAAACTACGGCAGGAGAAGCCCTGGCAAGAGGTTCTACTTTGTGGGAGAAAGGGTCGCCTTCACCTGTTACGAAGGGTATTCCATTAAGTCTGAGTATACCAACGAAGTCAGGTGTATCGAAAATGGCAGATGGGAACATGTCAAGCCCATTTGTTCAGGTGCCTATATACGCATTACAAACATGCACATATATTTTTTTGCATCAAGATAAAAAGCATTCACGACAAAAACTCAACACACTAATTCGATGCTTAAAAAAGCCAGAGACATTAAAACTAATGCAGCACCACACGAGACTCTATCTTTAAGCTTTACCTAAAGTATGAGTAAAGGTATAAGTCAACAAAATCCTTACACATTTAAAGGTGCGCATATGAAATTGATTTTTATAGTACAAATTAGGTAGATACAACGAATGTTTTGAAAGAGACGGTCTGATGTTTTAAAAGCTCTTTTATTTTTAAGATGTCATCCTTTTATAAATATGATTTAGCACAAAATAATGTGACAATGAATCAAGATATCTCTTGTTAATATCGATGGTCTTGGTGACATATACTTTCTCCCTTCCTTAGTGAATATGAGAGGTAGACTGGAGAAAGAGCTGCTGGATGTGTACAGTCCGAACCTGGCGCCTGAAGGAAACGTCCTCATCGGCTTCACTGGGTCTGTGGAACAGATCGTCGACTTGGTAAGCAAATCCAATAAAAATGTGTCGTTTGATAAAACAAAATGAGGTTTTCTTTGTATTTTGAGCAATACAAAATAACTAAGGCATCCAGGTCAATAGCTCTCACCGTTAATTAAATCTGAAAACAAATGTAACTTGTATATAAATGAGTAACTAATAGTAAACTGACTTGTAAATCAAACGAAATTTAAGCGTCCATAGCTAATCAAAACACTCAAGTATAATTCCTGTAAGACGCTATGTCTAATTGTCGTGTCAAGGCGGCCGTTGCTCGAGTTTTAAGTTCGTGGTTAAAGCAATTTTAGTGCAGTTGTGATGCAAAGAAAAAGGTTCACTAATGTAATGATTTCGGTGATAAATGGTCACTGCGATGATAATGAAACACGGCAAACACTTCTAAATATACAATAGTTTCTGTTACACATCTGGGGTTCTTTATTTAGTTCGAAAAACACACTATGGTGAATAATGTTGCTGATTTTATGGTTATGCTCTAGGTCTAACTTCTATTTTTTTCAGGATGAAAAGAAAGAGCAGCTTATGGCGTCTCTGGTCTTCCAGTTTGTAAGTTGGAACAGTTCTTAGACTTCATGACAGCTTTTGAGCTTTTGGGAATATGCTACTAATTTTTTTTCCAAGAGCGCGAAAAAGTTCACAAATGTTCCATTCTTAATGCATTTCTCTGATGAAATTGTCATTTTTCCAGACGTGGCAGGACAGTCGCCTGAGGTGGGATCCAAAGTATTACGATGGTATCAACGTATTCAGTGTTCCGGGTAGCAGTATTTGGACCCCAGCTCTCATCCTCAAGAGAAAGTATGTCATGTCTTAACCAATTATGTTCATATTACCAAAAATCAGGTTTGTTCTTTAATTCCGGGTACGGGAGTATAGTTTTGGGTGGCGTAAGCAACGAAAAATAATAGCCTTCTTCAGTACAGACTGAAGTGTGATAAAGATAATGGTATACATTGTATAAAGAAACGTTTGTCTTAAAACGTTGTCATGGATTCGGTTTAAGTAACATTTTCGTTCTTTGATTTTTAGCGCCGATCCTTCGTACACCGGCCTGGAAAAAAGCATACCAGTCCAGGTCAACAACAATGGCGTGGTAACCTGGATAGTAGAAACCCTGACCACCACCGTGTGTGATGCGGACCCCTTCTACTTCCCTGTTGACACCATGGAGTGTCACATCTGTTTCTCCGCAACCGCAGCTATCGGCCAAGCCATCCGTAAGCCTCTACAAACATTTATTTTTGAGGTTTATCAATGTTTAAAGCGTATCGATGTATTTTTTCACGTATCCACGTATGACATATTCGGTATTTACGGTATAAACCATAAATATATTTAAAAAAATATATATAGATAAATAGATAGATATTTACGGTAATCAGAACTATTTCCAAACTATTTTGGCTATGTATATATATATATATATATATATATATATATATATATATATATATATCATATATATATAGATAGATAGATAGATAGATAGATAGATAGATAGATAGATAGATAGATAGATAGATAGATAGATAGAAAGATAGATAGATAAATAGATAGATAGATAGATCATGAGCAGGGCTGCCTGTAAAAGTATCGCTCACATGGTAGCCGAGGCGGGTCAAACTTTAGTCCAGTATAAGCGAAGGAACCAGTGACCCATAGTGATTTAGGGTAGGTATTTTTAACTAGGTATAATCTTTTAAAATACTATAGCTGATGCTCTGTTGTTTTTATATGTTTAACACAGAATGTGGACACGGTAACTTTACAGAAGACTATTCCAGTAGTCTCAGCTGCGATGCCTCCCCTCCCGCTATTCAGGAGGGTGAATGGTATCAGAAGGACAGGTTGTTCGCGAACGGCAACAGAGAAGCATGTTTTGCTATTCAGCTGGAGAGGATTCCCTGGTTCCACATCGCCACCACTATCGGGCCCTGCGTCATCCTGGTCGTGCTGATGGTCATCACCTTCGTCATGCCACTGGACAGGGGCGACCGGATCTCGTTCGGAGTGACCATTCTACTCTCCATGGTCGTGTCTCTGGTGTTCGTCACGGACGTTCTTCCTGTCAAGGGGGCGCTGCCGTTAGTCGGTCAGTAAAGATAGATGGTGCCTGGTTGTGTTCTTCTTATGATTTTTTTTACCATTTTCGCTAAGACCAGAACAAACATTCATTCCTAGGGTGGCCTGTTTAATGGTAGACCGGATCAAACAAAAAATAGTAGCCCCTAAAAAGGGGCGCACAAAACGATAGATAAACCGCTCTACCTGGTGAGACAACTATGTTATCTCAGCCAGGTAAGCACGCCACCGACACATCACAAGAATGCATCCATGGGTCCTCCCGTGACTTTGTCAATAAAGCTCTTCTTCAAGTTCTCCTAATTTTGTTAGGAGATCGGCACAAATGTGTAAAAATAACAACGGGAAGTCTGATGTAAGACTGTCTGGGTTCCAAACGGACAACAGCCATATTTGCACTTTCCTACACACGACATTGTTCGGATGTCTTATAATATGTAATACTACTTTTATAGATATAATCTATTTAATCTGTGGCATGCGGAACATAAACAGTTATCAATTATGCAAATGATAACCTAATTTGCATAATTGATGTGAACATTCTGTGATTCCTCATTATTGCTTTAATATTATGCAGTTCACCAAGTAATCAACCTCAGGAATTATTTTATCAGGTTTTCAAAAGTTATGACCTTTTACAATCATATGAGGTCAAAAGTCAACCCCATGTTGATGCCTGAAGGCCTCATCCTATTTTTTGCATAAAGTTTGATGATGAGCTGAAATTTTTAAACACTTAATCATGCCAAAATATACCTATAAATTTGAAAGAAACCAAATGGGGTCAATTTGGATCCCGTTTGGTCATTTCCGTCACAAAAAAAGTTCGGGTGTTTGAGGGTTAAATGATTCGGAGTTCTGATAAGGCCCCTGTCACACATAACTGACCACTAGCTGGGAGTTAGTCGTAAGCTAGACCATCTCAGGCCACACGTATTTAATTTCTTGGTTAACGATTTGCCCGCTTCATCTTTTTTCTGATTTGCCAAAAAAAGAGATTCTGGTTCAGAATCAATTGCAAAATGCTCATATTTTGCCCTCGGAGCAGTTGAAAACAGTCCTTTTCTTCCTAGTTGCTACAGTTATTCCACCTTTCAATGCAGTGGTTCCATTAAAAGTTCAAAATTTATTGTTTAAATTTTGAACCAGCCTGGTGTGTTGACTGTATGCCTCCTATCGTACCATTTTGTGCCATAATAGGATGCCTAGGCCTGTTTGTTTTTTACTCCGTGAAGGAGGTCAGGACCTCCGGACGGAGTGTTGTAATCGGTGTTGTAATCGGCTGATTTTTCATGTTCGCAGTCAAAACACTGGGTTCTCTTTGTGTAATCGGCACGCAATTTTATACGCCGTCTGCGGGCATGCCCGTGTTGATGCACGAATGTGTATTTTTGCCGTTGCTGCTTTCGCGGTCAATGTAATATCGCAGACGCACCCCTACAATTACGAGGCGAATTGGAATGGTCCAGAAAAACGCGTTGTTTGGAATAGCAGTGGGGGGGGGGGGTAAAAGTTCATGCAGATACGGGGTGGTTTTTATAAGTGGTTCCAGATGTTTTTGCCCATGGTTAAGAGATGCCAAGTTTTTTGGAAGATGTTCGCAGCCAAAACGCATTCTTCCGTACGTCGCATTTCTGTGTAATTTCGCATGTGGTGTTGCATTATGTCCGGGATGATGCACGTCTTTTTATTTTTACCGTAGCTGTTTTGATATTGGAGTAAATGGTTATTTTCGAAACATCCCCATGCCGTTGAAATGTTGTCGTCCGTTTATGTCACCGGTAGTAAGTCGCGGCGGGGCTGATGGTCAACATTAGGAAATGTTAATACCGATAACGTAATCCTATCGATTTCAAACTGGTCGGGTGTGGCGACCTAGTGGCGGCGTGTATTTAGTCACGTAGCAACTGGCCGGTCGTCCTAGCAACGATACATGGCCAATATATTTGGGTTGGGCCGCTCCATAGTGTTAGTGGAGCAGCTCTTTGTAAACATGGACAATATTTTGAGCAACCAATCAATGTGTTCTGCCTCGTGGTCAGATGTGGT